CAAACTCAGGGTTGATGGGGGGTGGGAGGGAGGAGAGGGTGGGTGATGGGTATTGAGGAGGGCACCTTTTGGGATGAGCACTGGGTGTTGTATGGAAACCAATTTGACAATAAATTTCATATAAAAAAAAAAAGAATGTCTCTTGAAGCAAGGGAAACAAACGCAAAAATAAACTACAGGGACTTCATGAAAATGAAAAGCTTCTGCACCGTGAAGGAAATAATCAACCAAATTAAAAGGTAACCTAGGGAATCAGATAAAATATTTGCAAATGACATATTGCATAAAGGGTTAAAGAACTTATAAAACTCAACACCCAAAAAACAAATAATCCAGTTAAAAATGGGCAGAAGATAGGAACATTTTTCTTATTTCTTTAATTTTAAAACGTTTATTTTTGAGAGAAAGAATGCAAGAGGGGAAGGGGCAGAGAAAGAGGGAGACGCAAAATCTGAAGCAGTCTCCAGGCTCTCAGCTGTTAGCAACAGAGCCTAACGTGGGGCTCGAACCCATGAACCAGGAGATCATGACTTAAGCAGAAGTCAGTCGTACAACTGACTGAGCCACCCAGGCACCCAGCACAGACATTTTTCTAAAGAAGACATCCAGATAGCTAACAGAAACTTGAAAATATGTTCAACGTCACTCATCATCAGGGAAATACAAATCAAAACTACAATGAGATATCATATCACATTAGTCAGAAAGGCTAAAATTAACAACACAAGAAACAACAAGTGTTGGCAAGAATGTGGAGAAAGGGAAACTCTCTTGCTCTGTTGGTGGTGATGCAAACTGGTGCAGCCACCATGGAAAACAGTATGGAGGTTCCTCAAAGAGGTACAGGTAGAAATATACTATGATCCAGCAATTGCACTATTAGGTGCTTATCCAAAAAATATGAAAATACTAACACAAAGGGATACATGCACCCTGATGCTTATACCACCATTATGAACAATGGCCAAATTATGGAAACAGCCCAAATGTCCACTGACTGATGAATGGATAAAGAAAAGGTGACACGCACGCACGCGCGTGCGCGCACACACATACACACACACACACACACACACACACA